ATGAATCACGCATCAAGGGAAGCCTGTGGGGTTCAGCAGTTGGTGACGCACTGGGCGCACCCTATGAGGTATTTACTTGCCATTCACATGGTGAGGAACCATTGACGCTCGCATGCAGTTTAGAACCAGAGGTAGCTACACGCCTACAGAGAACATGGAGATATGCGAGACTTTTCACCACAAGGTGCTCGACAACTTGAAGCCGAATCACGCGCGACTGACAAGTTGTAGGGGGAACCACTTGCGGCGGGCTCATGGACAGACGATACGTCCATGCAGGTACGCCGACCCTTGTTACAACAGCAATATACTGACCATGGGCGGGTAGCTATGTTTGGCCGTGTCTCTATCAACCACTGGTGGGGACCTGGATTGGGTTGATGTTGCGCGAAGATGGACAAGTTGGTGGAGACATGGTGGGTGAAACAAAGATCTAATTGGTTGCGAATAACATCAGCATAGGCTATCTCTCCGTGATCGGCCGCTGCTTCGATATTGGTTAGTCGTACATTGTTTGAGCCTATAAGTTTTGCGCACTCAACCCATTTGCAGGCATGGCAACCATATCGGCGCTCGCAACGTATGTCAAGCTGCTCGACTCGAATTGCCCACGGCCGACGCGCGAGCCTAACATGAACCCGCAAATTGCAAATTCTGGAAACGGTTCCCTCATGCGCCTGTCGCCGGTCCCAGCCGGGCTGCACCACAAGCCGGCCAAGGCGATTGCGGCGGCGTCGCTCCAGTCGAGGGTGACGCACTCCAGCCCGCTCTGCATCGATGCGTGTGTGCTCGCGACCGCATATATGATCGGCTTTTATCACGCCAAGGGAAATGCGCGTGAACGGAAGCAGGCAGTGTTGAATCCGGAGTTTACACCATTCGCCGATGGATCACCTATACCGCTGCTGACTGAGAGGGTGCGGGAGTTGCACGAAGAGGGCCTGTACAAGAATAGAGAGGTGTCCGAGGTGATGACCGATGGGTTCGTGCTCTCGACGCTCGAAGCTGCTCTCTGGGCTCTCTGGCGGGGGAATACGTTCGAGGAGGTATGGGTCGTCTCACCTCGTCTAGATGCCAAGCTGTGACATTCTATGATTGGGTAGGGTTTAATGCTGCTGCTTCCCCTGGGAAGCGATGTTGACACGGTCGGTGCCGTGTACGGACAATTGGCTGGATCGTGTTATGGATACGAGGAGATCCCGGCGAGGTGGCTTGAGAAACTCCAACGGCAGGACATGCTGAGTGAGGCGTACGAAGGAATTATTGCGTTGGGTATGCAGACGAGTCGTTGAGTGTCGGATACTTGGGGTTGTCATTTGTATTTTCGGGATAATCTTCTGGTGCGCATGTGCCGACGCACATGAGACCCGGCCCTG